TGAGTTATATATTCGTCAGAATAATCGACCTTTGGAAGTTGCCTTCGCTTTATTCGCAATATTCTTCGAAAACTCCAATTTTGATTGGCCAGGAGGCAACACGGCTGCAGAACGTTTTCCTTTCTTCAGCGGCGGAGCGGGCATAAAACTGGAGTCTTCGTCCGAATCACTGATCTCCACCTTCAAATTTGCACAAATTACTGATGTCATCCTCGAAATTTCCATTTAACAGCTGATGAAATATCGTATGATGGGATTATTGCTTAAATTCGTCAAATTCACAACGAAGGTTAGTTCAACTAATTTGTTCCAACTGATTCACCATACTGGAAAATTCGAGTTGGCATAAAAAATTGAGAAAACCGATCTGAAAATCCACTCTTTCCAACTTGTTCAACGGAAACTGGAGTCAATTACCGCAGAATATTTCGTCTCATTCACAATTCTCTGCACAAATCACCCTGATATTCCCGTCACCACAAAAACAGACTCCAAAACCAGATGAATTCATAAATACAGCTTGACGGTAATCTGCGTTAAACACAAAACATACTTCATCATCTCTATCGTTCTGCTTTGATGATGTTTTCGAGCCTTCAGCTACGTCAGTTTCCTTTGGACTCGGTGAGATTTTCGTGCCTCTTCTCTGTGGTCTTCGCTGAGATGCTGATGGCGGTAAATCATCATCTGTAATAAACATCATCATAAAATCGGTCACCATCTAAACAATCACTGCAAACTGCACTAGTCCTGCGATCTAAGATCTCGATGGTTCTGCACAATAACCACAGCATTTCCTATTATTTAGCACGAATTTCAGTCATGTCGAAAATTTTCAGAATGAGAAAAACCATTGAAAAATCATTCGAAAAGTTTGAAGAGTACACTATATCGAATCCTTTCCAACCAAACAATATTTCAACAGATCAAAACACTAAAATACCTGATGAGGAAAGCTGTATGACACGTGGTTTCTTAGACTTCTGAAGGTGTTTCCTCGTTTCGGCTGGTAACGGATTCTCGCTATCACCTGAAAATGAACCAGATGTTTTAGGCAATTTGAAGTTCAAACAATAAATCTCTGGAAGCGATTACAGTCGAAGAACTTGCATACAGAACGATGAGAGTACATTCAAAATCAAATCAGTGACAAGGAAAGGGAGAAAAGATCCAAAAGAGTTTTTGAATCTTTCATTAAAGATCCAAACTCAAAAAATCCTTCCCTCCCCAAAACATAAACGCTTTAAGGAATTACTTTATATCACAGGCAAAACTTACTATCAGATGAGAGCTGCAGATGGCGTGATCTTTTCTGCGAAACAGCGGCCGGATGCTTTTTGTTCGGTGATTTCATCTGCACTGGACTTCCCTTTGAATTGCGAACTTCGGTCAAAGCACTCTTACCACTGCCAGCTGGTTTCCCACCGAAAAATTTACGAATGTCCTGTAAATGCATTGGGATTGTGATTTGCATACTACATGGATAATCCGATTACAACACTGCAATCATAATTATCATAAAACCAATCCTGAAAGAGTTCAACAGACAGGCAGCTAAAACCATAATCAGATCATGTTATAAAGTAAAAATGAAAATTTCAAAGGAACTACCATAATAAGTTGCTTTCAAAACTTTGCAAAGACGTCTACGAAATTTTCATAAACAATTTTTTGGTAGTGAATATCAGTCGACGAATATTATTCGGATGTTTCCGTTTTCGCGATAGCTCAGAATATGACTGAATGTCTGGATCTTCAAAATAAACGACAGTAATGTATCTGAAAACTCACAATGCACTGATTAGTGCAGTATGAAAAAGTATTTACCATTCAACATTCAATAACATTCATGACAACAATACGATACAAACATGGATCATGGCGTGGAAGATACTACCTATTCCTACCAATTCATNTGAGATATCCCCACTTGAATCAGAAGCGAAGGTACAAAGCTTAAACATCTTATTCATAACCCAACAAGACAGCTTTACCTTGCACCCACTTTCAATACAATCAGCAAACTACAACTATCAAAATGTGGTAAACAAAATGAGTAAAAAACTTCTCGATTTCATATACTCCTTACATTCTTACACGATCACACCCATGTGCACAATAAAATTATAATTACCATCGTTAGGAAGCGTCCCGTTTAATTGTTTGCGTTGTATTTTTACACATGACTTTATTTCAAAACGCAATTTGTCTAAAACTATTCATTGTCCTCATGTTTCCCCTTACCAAAAATTTCAAAACACTATGAAAACTGTGGATATTGCATTTTATTGCAAGCTGAAGAATTCCTCGTCAGGACAGTCGCAACAGCTTGATATGACGTACACCAAAGATCAACAAACAACCTTCACGGAACCACAAGAAGCATTTCATCATCAACACTTTAAAATGGATTCAAAAAATATTTTTAAAAAATACATAAAGAGAAAATAAAAAGAATAAGAAAAACTAAAAAAAGAAAACAAAAATATTTAAAAAATTACAACCCAAAAAATGAAAAAAAAGAATAAAAAATGAACAAAAAACAAAACAATTTACTACATTCTCATCTTATTGCGATCGAAAAAATTACAACTTCATAATTATAATCGCTAATTAATTCAAATTCATCATAATTACCGCTAATTAAATATCAAATTACAAATAAGTCACAAATGAACCGCTTACGCACGGCAGCGGTACGTCTCGGCTCATTG